CCCCCCCCCCCCCCCCCCCCCCCCCGCGTCTCTCTCCCTGCCCGGCGATAAACTACACAAAGGTGGGATCCGGATCGCGATCCGAGAAGATCAGGACGTACAACTGGAAGGACAGCCGGTGCTCCGACCACCGAATAGGGAAGAACTTCCCGCTCAACAACTTCCTGTCGGGCAGCGGCCTGGACGACATGATTGGGGCCTGCATCCTTCTTGACCAGCAGGAGCTCATGGCCGAGCTCGCGGCGAAGCAGCGGCAGGGTCAAGAAGGCGGCGTAGCCAGCAGATAGGAAAGAGAAATAGGTGGTTTCGGTCCGCGTGCCCCCCCCCCCTCCCGCTCCGGCGGCGGAAAGCGGATGATGGACACAGCCATGGCTTACCTTTTTCCTGAAGACATTTTGTGGCCCGCCGCGGTGGCAGTGGCGGATGGGCGACTGGCTCCATTTCGAGGGACACGTTGGTTGATCATGAAACGCAACACACAGCGTCCTCTCCGGGGAGATTGGTTTTTGGGCGAGATCAAGCAAGATGTTTGGAAGGCATCCCGTCCCCGTCTGTGTGATCGTGGATGGGGTGCAAGGTCGAATATTTGCGACTGACTGTAGAGTTTTCCTGTCGCGTTCGGCTTCGGGAGAGATAGAGAGACGGCGACATTCAAACAACCCACGTTCCTGCCTGTGCTTATGGTGCTGGAGAGCAGCCGTGAAAAAGCGGCAGGTGGAGGAAGATGGCGTGGGGCTTGTTGAGTTGCACCAAATGGTAATTGTACACCGGTAGACAGAGAACGCACTATTTACGAGGCGATCTACGAGGTAGGGGGAAGGCAAGTTACTGCCCGTCCGCGGGTTGTATTTGTGGTCCTGGGCCAACACGATCCTCTCGCACACGCAACACAAGACTTATGGTGGACGGGTTGGCACCGGTAACACCGCCGTGACATATGCATAGCCATGCCATCATGTTGTTGTTGTGCACCGATCGATGCTAATATATCTGTTTGGGCTTGTCCTGTAAAATCAAAAGTGGTGCACGACACGTAAGAGTCTGGGACGCTCGATCAACGTGTGGCACCTAGAATGACCTCCAACAGAAAAACTCTATTGTTCTGACAGCTGGCTGCAAGCGAGCGAGAGCCGCCTTGGGGTGTGCCGCATTGGCACGGGGGGGAGAAAAGGGTTTGGGGTAATGTGTTGTAGTGTCGGTGATGTAAGAATCGAACATGACGCGTATGTTTGTCAGTCTTACGGTCGTGGTGGGCCACCGATAGCTACCCATGGGGGGTAGGAAGGACACGAGGTAAAGTGCAGGGCGAATGACACCAAACATTATTGTTTCCGAAGCCGTAGGTGGATGGATTCGCCCTTGCCTTGCTTCTGTGTGCCTCAAGAACAATGAACGGAACAAACCGCAAACTCTGCAGGCGCACAACACAAAAGCAAAAAATGGAGATCATGCTGCTGCACGCTTTGTTCGCGAGGAGAAAACCAAGGACCAATCAATTCTGATTTTTCACTCAATCCAGACTACGCTTGCATGCTGCTGTAGTTGCCGACCGCCCTTGTTAATCTCAATCTTTGCTTTTTTAATAGAAACCGTGTATTGCTTTCATTTCCCCCCGTCTAGATCGATGGTTTGCATGCCATGAACACATCCGCGCCCTGGATGTCGAAGATGGCATACATGCTCGGAAACCTCCTCTGATAACTTACTACGTATCTGCAGCTGCCAACGCTGCATCTCTTTCCAGCAGAGTGAAGTGTACCACTCGACCCCCCCCCCCCCCCCCCCCCCCCCCCCCCCCCCCCCCCCCCCCCCCCCCCCCCCCCCCCCCCCCCCCCCCCCCCCCC